ATAGATTATATATGAATTGAAAAGGCCGCAATTTATTAGATAAAGTACTACCTTTTTTGACCATTTCACTCTTTTTCTGAAAATGGTGTAGTATGAGAGGTACTGATTTGCACAATCAACATCTTTCATATGGGCATTGTATTGGAGAACACACACAGATTTTTTATTTCTTCTCCAGTTATTATATTTTTCTTTCCTGTGGTAGAAACAGATGAGTCATGGATGGTTGAAACCATTCTCACTTCTCTTTTGTCTTTCCATATGAAAACAAGAACATCACCTTTTATACAGAAAGCTGTTTCACCTTTTTTCATTGTTGAAACTTCAGGCTTGGTGGCAACACTCTATTCACACTTGGTTGTTCCACAGACTCTTGTTTTATGTTCTAGGAACAGGTTTGTAATGGAATTACTGTTGTAATAATTGTCCTGGTATACGTGGTGCCACAATCCAATACTGGGAGCAAGAACTGAAAGAATAGTCTCCTTCCATCTTTTTCCCCTCACCAGTATAAATCTCCATGTTGCAAATATAACCTGTGTCACTCTCACACACCATTCTCACCAGCAAGCCATATTTTACAATTTTTGCAGGGTTGTATATTCGGAATCTTAGATGTCCTTTCCATGGAATCATGTCCTCATTCAATGATGACTGTTGCTTTGGTTTGAAGTCCTTTAGATGACATTTTATGTTTCTATGCAGTTTGATTATGGTAGGTACACATTTCCTGACAAAACATTTCAAACAAGTCATCACTAAACATTAGACTTGCCACGGTAGCAATATTTTCGGGTTTGGATGGAGTTATAGTGATCCCTGGATTTCCTTCAAACATTTCCAAGTTTGTGGAATATCAATTTCTGACCAATTATTATTATCTCAAAAGGAAAACAAATCACTAACAGGAACATTTGTAGAATCATCATCACTTTCTGATTCAGAATATTTGAGAGCACAACAACTTTATGTATCTTTGTAGGTCTAACAATGTCACTGTAGCTAGAGTCACTGTTAGAATGATCTACATCAGAATCTTCACCTTCACTTTGAAGATCTGACAAATTATCATCAAATAGTTCAGTAATTATCTCATCTTCACTCAACACTTTGTTTCTGCAAGAAGCCATTATGAAAATATGGGTATTGTAAACAAAAATCAGAAAAATAATAACCGTCTGGAACAAAATAAAATGCATCCAACTCCTTTCAAATGCAACGTTTTAATAAATAGCACACAAAGACGCTCTGCATGAAACACGAGTAAACTCGTGATCTGTCCACAATGTGTTAAAATGATTAGTTTATCTTTTTTACAAAGTTGAATGTTAACTGCTTAAACAGAAGAAGAACAAAGTTATTTAAATAAATTAATATGCATTATGTGGCAGTGTTAATAGTATTGCATTACCATTGGCAAATATTGGTACACATATATAATCTACCATGAATGTGTAACAATATGAAATTAGATTCAGTAAGAATTAAAAAAACTAAAAAAAGGAAATAAAATTAACATTCTTTGTTGTTGTTAGAATAAGTTTTTGTTATATAATTAGTAAAGGAAGGATATATTGAAAAGATAATTAAGGGGTGGAAATATATTTTTTTAAAGTCACTTGCTAGAAGACAAGTGTGGTCTTAATATTTACTCACGCTGCACCTTTTTCATCTTGTCCCAATCTTAAATTGAATTTTTATAAAACTCAGTTGTTAGAAACTTTGAAACCACTGCACGATATAATTAACTTTAATTTTAGACACTGAGGCAATTGTAGATTATGCGTAATAGTGAAGCTTTCCTAAACTAATATATTGTTATAGTGTTACTTTTTACAATACAGTTTTACTAGTGCAGCTTAAAATTCCTCTTTCATATAAACCTGAGGCTAAGTTTTTGTCTCGGGGCTTTATTTCTTGCTGTCATCCAGGTCATGGTAATTGCTTTCACTGTATTGAAATCATTCAATTCAGGTCCTTCAGTCATAATGATGAGCTGTAATTACAAAGATTGTTGAGACATAATGGCTGTAACCCTTGTTTTCAAAATTTTAATTTATGCAAAGACATTTTCACATTTAGCAGTTTTATAGCTAACACACAACATAATCTCCAGTTTCAGAATGTTTTATGGTTGTGTTGAAGAGATTTTCATGACAGTGCAGTATACTTCAGTGATTGGTAACATTTACTATCGATATATAAAGCCTTTCAAACATTCATATGCATTAGTCATGACTTGTTTTTTCTCACAATTGAAAAGTTCATCAAAATGTTTTGTAATAAGTGCATTTCATTCACTCATTTACCCCCATATTCATGGGCAGGACTTAAAATTAAATGCATTTGTAAAATATTTCAGGGGACTCTTGTTAAAAACACCAAACCTGGAATTAAGAGAAGAAATTCAATTATTAGAATGATGAATTGAAGTTACATTTTTATGTGTTTGAAGAGAGACGTACTGTTTTTCTATTGTTTTTTCTTCTTCCAAACACTTTTCAATTAACTCTCATCTCTCAGCCGATTGACTTGAAACTTGGTAGAGTCATACCTTGGTCCAATATGTTTGGACCCTTTTTCATTTTTTGAATTAGACTGTATATTTTGGGCTCCTGGATGATCATATTCACAGCAATCAAGATGAAAATTAGCACAAATATAAAATTTTTATGCGACCAACATACTGATGTACAAAAAAGTTGGATTTGCCCATTTTGTGTCTTTTAGGAGGATCAGAGCTCACGTAAAAACATGATTTTGGGGTTTTTGATCAATTACTCAGCTATATTTTGACCAATTTACATGGGATTTGGTAAAAAAGGTACTATTCTACAGGTCCCACACATTGACAAACAAAACTGGTGGACTTGTCCATTTTCATTAATTGTAGGGGAATCAATATGCTACTAAAAGCATAATTTTAGGGTTTTTTGACAATTGCTCTGCTGTATTTATAAGGGATTTGATAAAAAGATACTTATTTACAGGTCCCAAACAGATAGACAATTTTGACATGTTATCGTGTTAATATTGTTCTTTTCACACAAGATTTCAAATGATAAGGTAAGTCTTTAGTGAGCTTGAAATCTCATTTTTTAGATCAAAATACAGCTTAGTTACTACGCTTGATAAATTATAGTGGAATTCTGTGGTACTGATATAGTAATTTATGATTTTGTTTGGTTATTTAAAATGTATATATAAAACCTAAAAAAATTTTTCTTTTCATATCCTCCATGTGGGAAATTTCATAAGGCTTAGCAACCTACGACAAGCACCGTATGAGAACTAAGGTCGTAACTAGAAGAGATAATTGTTTGCTTTACTTCTTTATTTACTGTTTTATGCTTTAAGAATAATAAGTTTAAGAACGTATTTGTAAATTAGTAATAATGTATATACATAA